AGGCCGAGGCCTCGGGCTCCACGGCCTGTTTCCGCCTGACCGTCTCGGACAGTTGCCGTCTGACGCACTCGAGGCTCAAGGCTTCATCCTCGTCGTCGCCCACGTCGCGTCCCGACCCCGGCAACGGAGATGGCACCGGCCGGTTCAACAAGGTCTGATTGTGCTTACGCAGCTCGTGGAGGAGCGAGCGCAGCAGCGGCTTGGGGCCGTCGAGCAGCTGCTGCGGTCCGCCGGTCGACGGCAGCCCGTTCAGCGGGGATCTGGGATCAAATTCATACTTCAAGCGTAGCATACAGCGCGACGGAGCGCCGGGCCCGGCGTCCGAGCGTCGGCTCGTGAAGATGGCCGCCTCGAGCAGACTGCCGTCGGGACTCGAGGTGGACCGATCGCGTCGCCTGTCGATGACGAATTGGCCGGAAAACTCTTTCGCCATTTGTTCCTCCTCCTCCTCCGCCGGCGCCGTCATTTTCGACGGACAACCGACCTGTAATGCGTTGCAGGCGACGCAGACGAGGTGTAGGGCGCAGCAGCCTGTTTGTCCTTCGCCTCGGAGTGGGTCTGGCAGACTGGTTTGAACCGCGCTTATCGACCCCCTCCAGAGGGAGAACAGCACCGCTGAAGGGATCCACTCCGACCCACCGACAAACTGGCGTCAGGCCGACACCAGCCCAGCCCCAAACAGTCACCGGCCATCAGATGCAATCTCTTCTGGTCCAGGTCACCTCAGCAACCGGTCGAGAGGGTGCAGATTCACAGGCAAACACGTGAAGCAAGGCGGAGCTCTCAACCTTCGTCGTTGCGGGCAGCACAGAACATCAACAACAGCATCATCATCATCATCATCATTTTGTCAAGACACAAATGCAAGTGTGACTCGACCTGCCGTGTCAAAGGGTAAAGTCGGTTGGGAGGAATCCGTGAGTGAAGATCGTTGGGTTATCCTCGTCCCACTGTGCTAGGCTTTTGCCTGTACCGCCGTGACAGACTTCGCCAGACCAAGAAGCAGAATTTCACGAAATAGCGCACCAACTGGTTAGGGGAATTGGCACACTTTTTACCTAAATTATGATTTCTCGCCCTGATGAAATCCTTCGATTTCCGATTAGACCAATTCACGAATTCTTTCCAGCCAAAAGTGAAGTCGAGTTACACAAACTTGATAAAGGATCTGTAGAAAAACTGGGTTTCGAAGAATCCCTCAACAGATTGATGTTGAACTATCTTTCATTTCGAAGGTATAAAGACCAAGATGGTGTGGCCTTTTGTGTGGTCTCAGTCTCCTTTCGTTGAATAGAAGTT